TCTTTGAAAAACTCAAGTGGGACCAACTATTAAAATCCAACCAGTTTGTTTATGGTGCCCCGCTCAATATATTAGTCTAGTGAATGCTTTCACCACTCTTTAATCTTGGCAACGCATTTAAAGAGTTTATATGATCACAATAAATCATATGGCAATTTTGCCTAGCTCGCTCTAAAGTTGTGTTTCTTTTTGTAATACCCTTCATATATAACAAAATATTATGAGTATTTTATACGAAGTACGTAGTACTACGTACTATCGTATTAGATAAGGACACATGATAGCCATACTAGTTACCATTATTTCAATACTAGTATAAATGTCCAGGAGATACTAATTGTTATCAAATGTCAAGGAGATACTAATTGTTATCATCTCCGTCATCATAAAAAAATCAAAGACTAAAGAATAATCTTTTATAAAAGAAAATTTGTCAATTCAAGACCTAAAAGATAAATTCACTATCACTAAAGAACATGAAAGATAAAGTGTGTCGATATATAGGGCTTGAATGATCGAAACTATCAATCTAAGACCTAAATTTTCATACATTTTAATTTTTTTGTATTTTAAATATCATTTAATCTTAATAAACCAATAAACCTTTGTGAAGCAAAAATCATCAAAAACTAACAATGGGATTAATAAAAAATTAAATAAATCAAAATCTATGATATTGTAGTTCTTAGATTGATAGTTTTCAATCATTCAGGTCTTATTTTAGTTCTTAATTTTCAGTTGCCTTATTGATAATAAATGGAAATAATTACATATATAAGACTAAAATAAAGGTTGCTTACAAAATGTGACTAGAGTAGTAATTGAATCATGATAACTTATGTTTAATTTTTAAACTTAAGTTACCATTACACTATATTGTAGTAACTATAAGTCATATTTTTGTAAATAAGTTTTATTTTAATAATATTATCCTCCATTTTTTTAATCGCAACATGTTGACTTTTTGCACTGTTCACATGATCTACTTTGACTACATTTTACACTACTATTTTATGGAAATTATTTTTTTTTTTAAAAATTTCAATTCACCTCATTACAAATTTTCAAAATCTGAATTTTAATATTTTTTTATTAATATATATTAAGATATACTTACGGTCAAATGTGTGCGTTGATTGGCAAATGTGCAATGGTTGACTGTTGCAACTAAAAAAACCGAAAAACGTATGAAGTATTATCGTAAAAAACTCATTATTTCATGGACAAGTTCAATTTCATTTGGCATCCATGCAATGCATATATTGGCCGATAAGTTATTATAATAATAAAAAAGAATTAGAATATATTGACAGTATTATACACCATATATTCTTGAATGCATTGGCAACAGATTTTCATTGCTCTTTCAATGCAGTAGGCCTATGCAGTTTGATTCCTTGCATCAATTTCGTCACCACATTACATGCGTTAGTTTTTTACTGCGCATTTCACTGCACTCCGCCCCAACCTATGTTATTTCACCTTCCTTAATTAGAAGATTCGTGAAAAACTTTACATAATTTTTCTTTAGTTTCACTATTCATTCAAATTAAAGCTGTTAAAATTTGTCCTTTTTTACTTGTTACTAACTAATAACTATTATGCTTGTGTCTTAGCTTGTAATATTAATTAAAAAACAAAAGTCATTTGTAAAGGGGTAATCACACATTCAGCCCCTTAAATAGTGTACCAACATTGAAATACCATCCTGCTAGTTTCAAGTTTCAAGTTTGCAAAAGCAACTATTCAATGATCTAATAAATTGTTACAAATGTAATCCTTTCAAGATTGACACTTACAATGTGAGCTATGAATTTTACACTATTCATAGGCTCTACTTTGAATTGACTAAATTTTACGCTATTATTTTATGAAAATTATTTTTGTAAGAAGATATTGTTTAATTCATCTCATTACAAAGTTTCAAAATCCGATTTTTAAATTTTTTTTTTACTAATAGAGATTAAAATATAATTACGGTCAAAGACGTGCGTTGGCAAATGTGAAATGTTGACCGTTGCAACTAAAAAAGAACGGAGAAAGTATATTATTTCCGACAATTGAGATGCGACGTTACACATTTGAGAACACAGAAATTACATTTCAATGTGGACACTATTTGAGAGAATAGAAGTACAATTTTTCCTTCGTAAAAACATAATTGGTTTGTATATTCACTCCAAATTACTATCACGATTCATGACATCTCTACAATTAAATGAGTATGATTTTGTTCAGTTTCACCCAAGAGGTAATGTTGACCCCATCCTTCCTTGCCGCTATATGGTATGACACTTTTTAAAATTGTGAAATAACTATTTCTTTTTGTTACACAAGAACACTTATTTATCAATAGTTTAGAGCTATTCGGGAGTGGGACATAGAACTGCATCGATGGTTGGTTGATCTAACAACATCGATGTACTTGCTACTAAAATCAATGGATCAAACACTAGAGAGCTATTAAACTGGAATGAGCAAATAGAATTAAATTTTCTACTTTTTCGAGCCACCAACAAGGGAGAAGAGGTTTAATCAACCACATCCCAAGACGTCATTTCGATTTGACCAGCCATCGGTAAGGGAGAAGAGGTTTGTTCAGCCACCTCCAAAGAAAGCATCCCACTTGCAATAACTAATAAAATTTCAGGCCGTGCCGATCCAGTAGCACCACTGCAGAGCCATTTTTTGGGCATGTTTCATCTACCTCCATACTAACTTAGACTTCCACCAAGTTCCGCAAATCCACTGCCCTGTGCTTCCTAGACTCCCCACAACCCTGGCAACTTCCACCGGATACGCCCCAAAATCATTTCATCCCCAAAATCTCTTAAAACAGAAAATCTTTTAGGATTAAGACTTGAATGTTGTTGTATATATATAGCATTTCAATATTTCACATTACTCTATTATTGAATTTCACATTGATTTCTCTCCAGTTTTTTGAATTGCAGACAATTTTTGTTATATATAAGGAGCAAATAAAACAAAAGAATATAATTAAGAATATGGCATCAATTAAGTAAGCTAATTGTTTTCTAGTCGTATTTGGTTGATACTTATCACTAGAGAAACAAATTCAATGAAAATTATTCCTCTATGTACACAATGCCACAAGCCGGACAACACTCTTATTCGAGTAATTAAAGGACCACAATGTAACAATGAATTTATTTAGGAGTGATTTATAGGCCTGATAATAATTCATGCGGTTCTTCAATGACATGTCTTAATCCAATTATTGCTTCACAAGCTTATGCATTACCTTTCTTACCAACTTTCTCCATCACTTTGTTCTCTCTCTCTGCTTTCCTCTTCCCCGTTTCCCTTTTCCGCAAGTTAGACTATAAAGTTTAGTTAAAGTGAATGCAAAAACTTATCAATATTAGTATCACAATAAAGAGCTAAAGACTGCAATAACTAATAATCTAACACTCCTTAAGTATTTGGACCATGGTGAAAGTGATAGTAAGGTGTACGGAGCAACTCCCAATGCTGGAGTTGAGTGTGGGTTTTGTTGAAAATTAGTCAACAAAAAAGAAAAAATGTTTACTAGTGATTATAGTAGTAACTTTGTCACGGTGACTTATATTCAATTGTTAAATTTAAGTGAGTGTGAGTCAATGACATGATACTATAATAACTATTAATTATATTTGTGTAAATAATAAGTTTTATTTTAGTAATATTTTTGAAAAAAAACTCTTAATTCATTTACTCTTTAGGTCCAATGTGTCGTGTTTAAAGCTCTATCCGGTCCGAAATTATCACATATGATTTGTGGGTATGAAACATGCATAGGTAAGATAATTTTCTTTCAAATACTAAGAGCTCGTTTGGTAACACTGTTTTTCGGCTTATCAGGCTTATTAGTCAACTTTTTCACCAAACACGTAACTTTTGCTTTCGCGCGTTGAATTGTGTAATAAACAGAAAAAATAAGGTGAAAGTTACTTTTCTGGCGGTATTTGCTTAAGTTACTGTAGATGACCATTTTAGCTATTTTTACATATAATTTTTTCTTTATTTTATTAATAAAATATATTTTAAAAATATTTTTTTCTTAAATCAGCAGAATCAACCAATGCAGCCACTTTAGTCAGAACTTCATAAATTTCAGTAGAATCAGCCAAATCAGACGATTTTTGTGCTACCAAACGGGCTCTGAATTTAATTCCACGATTGTGACTACTTTTATACATGGATGAAAACATTACTTTCGAGATAATAATTTTTTATTATGCATATGTCATCTATATATGTCATTTTCTGTTTATTGTGTCACTAACAATTCTTTATATTATTACCAATTATGTCACTATAATTTGTAAATTCCCCGGTGTCAACCACCACAGTTCAACATGTTGTGTAACCGTGACTGCTACTTCCGATGAGTTTTTTGGCAACATTTCCCAAGGACTTTTTGCAATTTAACCTCTATTTACTTCTCTTCTTCTTGATTTATTGAAAAAATTTGAGCTTTATATTGTTACGTTTGAATAAAATATATAAATAGGACTAACTATTTACCCTCTTATGATACTCACGAGTGGGTATCATTAATACTCACGAGTAATTCATACGTTTCTTTGAAGAAGAATACTTAATTATCATTAATCAAATCATTGTCCAGAGTTATACAATAAAAGAAGGGGGAGAACAAAACCATTAACCAAGATCGTGAATCAGACAAAAAACAAGCAGCTCTGGCTAAAGCATGAGCTTTCTTATTCGTTGATCGATCGCTTAATATGACAAAATGAAATGCTCGAAAAATGTTTCATCGAATCTCTAATGTCGTCACCTAACAAACCCACTGAAGACCAGCTAGAACCGTGCAAGGTCTCTGAGATAGCCTGTTACGGATTAATGTATACAAATTATTTTGTTCTTTTAGTCTAGCCCGGTTTGTATAGTTTTCCGTAGGGCTTGTATTTCCGGCCCAAATAGCTTGTGTATTTATATTCCCTGACACATGTGAATAACACAACTTTTGATCCCTAAATTAATTCTCATGGTATCAGAGCGGTAAACGCACGTCCGAGGCACTGTTTCGTTCCAGTCTTCAACGACGGCTTGCAGCACCAGTGTTGTATGCAACCGACGAACATGGCTGGGGAAGATAAAATTGATGTTGCATCTCCGTACTATCTTAGTTCAGGGGATCAACCTGGAAACCTTATCACCCATGTGATACTCACCGGTGATAACTACGTAGCATGGGCGAGAGCAATCACGCTCTCGTTGAAAGTAAGAAGAAAGTTCGTGTTCGTTAATGGCACGATCAACAAACCGACTGAGGCTCGAAAATTATTGACTTGGGAAACATTGAATTCTATGTTTGTATCATGGATTTTGCGTAGCATCGACGGGAAGATTGCAGCTTCGATACCGTATCACGTTGAGGCCAAACCTTTGTGGGGATATCTGGAACGGCGTTATTGTGTGGCTAACGGTCCGCGGATTCAGCAACTCCGGGCAGACATCGTTGGCTGCAGACAAACTAAGGGCATGAGTGTGGACGATTACTTTAACCGCCTCATGTCTCTTTATGACGAATTGGAACGACTGAAGCCCCTGCAGTCTTGCTCGTGTGGTGCGTGTAAGTGTGAAGTTGCTGAAAAATTTGCAGCAGACCGGGCGGAGGAGAAATTGCACCAATTTTTTATTGGTATTGATGACAAATATTATGGAATCACACGCTCCAACTTGCTCTCGCAGCCGATGCCAGTAACACTTGATCGGGCTTACCAGGCCTTCATCCAAGAAGAGAAGTCCAAAGACATTGCTCGAGGAAAGGCCTTGATGCAAGAGACTCAGGCTTTCGCCTTGCGCGTCGAACAACCAAAGTCCCGGGATGAACGTGTTGACAAGGAGAAACTCGTATGCAGTCACTGTAAAAAGAAGGGACATGAAGTGGGGGCATGTTTCAAACTACATGGCTATCCGGAGTGGTGGATGGAGCGTAACCGGAATGGGAAAGGGACGTCCAGTTCTCGGAACGGGCAGGGTTCATCTCAAAACAAAAAGGTGGCGCAAGCACATGTAGTAAAGGACGAGGAGGTGCAGACTGGCACCGAGAGCCTGGTTGCACAACTCAGGCCAGAGCACATTCAGGCCCTTCTTAACTTGGTTAATTCTGATTCTAAGCTTGCTAATACAGATCGCATGACTGGTAAGGCTCATTCTTTTCCTTGGATTTTGGATAGCGGGGCAACACATCATGTGACTGGTAATGCAGATTTATTCTTCCGTTGTACACCCGTTGATCACTGGTTGGTGTGGCTGCCGAATGGGCAGCGGGTTGCTGCAAATGTGATTGGAGATGTGTAGCTTTCTGAACATTTTGTTTGAACAAATGTCTTGTGTGTACCGAATTTGCAGTGCAATTTGATTTCTATTGCACAACTGATAGATGACTCCAAATGTGTGGTTTGATTTACTAATGATTTGTGTGCTATACAGGACCAACTCTCGGGGAACCTGATTGGAGCCGGTGAACGGCGGGACGGACTCTACTACTACCGTAGCATTCCACGCATTCAGTTGATTACTTCGTCTGACATTGGGAATTTTGATTTGTGGCATCGTCGGCTTGGACATCCGTCTGATCGTGTGCTCAAGTTAGTGCCTGGTGTTCTAGGAAATAAAACATTAAATAAGCCGTGTGTGGCATGTCCTATGGCAAAGAAAAAACGTGATAGTTTTCCAGTTAGTGAAAATAAATCTACCCATATTTTTGAGCTTTTGCACTGTGATCTGTGGGGGCCTAATCGCACTCCATCTTCGTGTGATGCTGTCTATTTTTTAACAATTGTGGATGATTTTTCCCCTGGTGTTTGGGTGTATCTGTTACGTTCTAAGAGTGAAGTCAATAAAGTTTTTAGTTCATTTTTGGCTACGGTGGAACGTCAATTTGCTACTAAAGTTAAACTTATACGGACAGATAACGGAACGGAATTCACTTGCATGAGAGATTATTTTGCTTCCCTTGGCATTCTATTTCAAACTTCTTGTGTGGGTACACCTCAACAGAACGGACGTGTTGAGCGTAAACATCAACATATCCTTAATGTTGCACGTGTTCTCATGCATCCGCCAGGGTGCCCGGGACGTATCAACCTCCACCTCAACCTCAGTCCACCCATTTCCTTTGAGCCAACTGAGAACCTCAGGAATGGCAACCAATTTTGCACCCAAGGGCGATTGTAATGTGTATGTTTATTGTATACAGATTGCATTACATCTTTTATCATTGATTTCGAAACAACTTTTAAATTTTATCTTAATGACGGATATGTAATACATTTGAATACCTTTTTAAAAAAAAAGTTCGTTATTTTATCAATGTAAATGAAACATGAATTGGGAGACTTAGATTCTAACCTAAACAGGAGGGGTAGAACAGCAGAACCATGTTTTTTTAAGAATAAAAGGCAGATCCAATATAAGGGGCTGGCGTACGGATCGAAATCTACTTTTTCAGACACTTGCGATTGTCAATTTTAACCCAAACCGGACCCAGTATCAGACTTAGATTGAATTGGTAAAAAAAGTTTAAAGAGCATGAGGGTAAGGCCAAGTGGAATGTGTGTTGGTGAATTTTGCACAATAATTAGGATCAAAAAAGATCAAAATATGTCAACTTCTACGTTCCATTTTGGGAAACAATTTCAAATCATGACGTGGTGCTCCACTGGCTAAGATTTACGGATTTGGGTAACAATGTGGATGGATGGATGGATGGTGATCCAATTGATTAATGGTGGGTGCGTACTGCCCACTAGCCCCTATTTCTCACCACCAACCCCATGTTAATGTGCAACTAATATCATATGTGTGGTTCTGTTACATTGAGAATCAAATAGGAGCTGTATTGTGAATATTTTAAATTATGTATCAAAAGGGGAGAAATGACACCCCATTTTCAAGAGTCTCCGAGCATCGCATCGATTGAACAATTAATTGAGAGAATGTAAATTGAACTTTAATCACAAATTGGCATAGGGTGATTGGGGCTCTTGTCATGTACTTGTAGAGACTCAATGCATTTTAAAATAGTAACCTCTCATCGCAGTTCTCGTGATTCAAAGTGGAGACCTACTCCTTGTGGCACTCACTATCTATCAAGTGAGCTACGTCCTATGTCCACCAATATTATGTATCATAAGAAGTGATATAGACAGGATTACCTCCGCCTAAGATCCTAACATGAGGGGCTAATGAAGTGAGTTTTTGTTGGTATTGAATTAACAAAGTCTAAATAATACAAGTTAAATTGAGATCAGTCATATACTACCAAATATCTCAAGTAGACAAACTTACTAGGATGAATAGTGTGTTCGAGAACTCACAGGCCAAAAAATGTGTCATGCACACATAAAAATGCATGCTCACACAAATCCTAAGAGTCACAGGTTTGTTTTTGATCATTTCAACTGGTCATTGTCTTCATTGGTGTTTTTTAGCTAGGATGAATATTAGAATAAAAGGACTGAAGGGAAAGAAGAACACGAATATCCATTGACTTAAGTTAACTTCGTCACTAAAGATTCCTTTCATATAGGAACATTATTTGAATGAACACTAAGAAGAAAATATAGGAAAAAGATATCAAATCAAAAAGTAACAAAACCAAATAATAATATCGGGTTCAATTTTAATCAATTGAACAAGTAAAATGCAATTACGAAACAACCTTTAAGTAACAAAAATGGAATAGAAGACACGAATGAGAAAGAATATGAGCATGATTCGAGAAGAAGATCATAGAGAGAATGAAGAAAAAGATTAGAAAAACTCCTAAACAAGAAAATAAAAAATATTGAAAATAAATTTCCTTCTGTCCCTAGAAAAGTTTTCCACTTTCCTTTTTTGGTATACGAAATTGTGATTCACAATATTTCTTACACATTTCTTCCTCTTCTGCCACAACTCTCCACCACAATGCTCACTATCTTAATTTGTGTGCCACTTGGCCCACTTGTACTATAGGAGAACAATTAGGAATTTAGGATATGTTTGGGAGTTGAGTTTTGGAAGGGAGGGGAAGGTTAACAAGGATGTATGACCCTTCATTTCATATTTGAGAGTTTAAATATATGAAGGGGGGAGTTTTAGAGGCTTTTGTAACCTTCAAATCCCTTCAAATGCTCAGTTTTATGTTCCCCAAATTGGAAAATTTTGAAGAATAATTAATTTAAACGACAATTTTAGCTTAATTTTAAACAGATGTAAATTTAATTATTTGAATTCATCATATATGTGAAGTGATTTTAATTGTAACTCATTCATAACATCTATTTTTCAAATTTGTTACTCACAAACAAGGAGAGTTTCATCAACATTCCCTTCTTCCCTTCCAATGACTAACCTTCAAAATTGGACTGAAGTTTTATTAATTAAACATTGATTCTTACGTCATTAAATGACTTGTCATAATATTATTTGTCCAAAATCAAGTATGTACGAAAACATTCTAAACTAAGTTGATAGCGTGAAATTTTCCTCATTTCCAATTAGTCAATCATTTCACATAAATTTGTCTTTAGCAGAAGAGTTCTTAACGTGCCATTTAAATTGCAAGCGAAAACTTGCAAATTACGCGTACCCGCACAGATATTAATACTCCTACTGGCTGGCTAGCTAGGCATCTTAACTCACATCAACTTCTTGAAAAAGAAAGCAAACTGAATGCAGCTCAATCATTTAAAATTCCTATTCTCTTTTCTTTTGTTATTTGTTGTTTGTTATCCATTGCAATTGCTTCATACTCAATGCATGTCAACCTCGCACAAAGTTGTCAATCATAATTTAAAAATGTTTCTGCGATATTGGAGTGTTTGGGTAAAAGTGCAGAAGTACTTCTAGGTGCTCCAAATAAATCTTATAAGCAATTTTTAAGAAGTTGGAAGAGACCAACTTCTGAGAAACTGATTCTGATTTTGTTTAAAAATACAGAAGCAGAATTAGTTCCAAACTAGTTCCAAACACCCCTATGTAGTATATATGTATGCCCCACCACGCTCATCTAGATCAAGATGACGAACAATTACCACACAACCGGATTGAAAAATAACGAACTTGACCTTAGTCGGCCAATTACGCGCCTTGACCTTACCGCTTTATTTGAGGATCGTCAGATCTACTCATCACTAGATCCAACGGTCCCAATCGCCCCAGCAGTTTACGTTTCTATAAAAAAAAACTCTTGTAGGCGTTTTCAAGAAAATAAAGGATTTACTTAAACAACATAGAATTTTGAAGGTTCCTTTTTTAAACAAAATAATAATACCATACATATACCAAGAACTATCTGCCTAACCTCAAAATGAATACCCTACAACTAACTGAATTTACATGAGATGATTATATCCAAAAGAAAGTTTATCTGTAATGAATGCACCATTAATGTCTATTCCGTGAAGGCTGGGCAACGACCCATCTCAATAGTTCAATAGGGAGTACTTCAAGCGTAGCATGATTTTACCCTTATCAACCCCAAGCTTAGCCCCAGTTACTAGCCAATGACCAGGTGTATCTTGTGGCCCCTTGCACATTTCCGTCATATCAACAATTTTCCCAAGTTTTCCTGTTTGGCTGGATATGGAGGATGAAGAACCATCAAACCGTGTTGGGGTGGAGGGATTGTGGTCCCATACAGATCTCCTTATCGTACACCCGGGCACCTTGGAGAAGAGAAGTTTCAGGTGTAAGACATTCTTAGCACCAAAATTCCAAACGCCCAGCTGGGCCCCAGTCACAATATGAACGCCAGATAGGTCCCCGATTGACGTTTCAGTGTGCTCTATGGGTGCGGTGCTTACATGGGAGAAGTTCTTCCACTTTATCGGTTCGAACCACCGGCTGTCCTGCTCCTCGGGACCGTGCCACTTAGGTGCACCAATAGCCATGTGTGAGTCCCAGTGTGGATGAAGAATCTTAGGAAGAGAAACGAGGTGCTGTAAATGGATGGCAAGACGGTTCTGCTTGCACCCTTCTAGGCTCAGTCTGAGCCCAGTGACTGGCTTACGCCCCACTGTTACCTGTTTTAACTAGTATCAGTTAATGAATTATCATCATACCAGTTTTAAATAGTCCAAGAAGCCCCACACAATATAAAAATAAGGAATGCATGTGTAAGGACTCAAAAATTCATCCAAAAAAGTGAACTAAATTGGAATGTCCCAATATCTTATATGTTGGTTTGTAATTCTATTTTTAGCATGACATCTCTTATGAGCCATTAGTTTTTCGTAAAAGTGACATATTATTGCTACATGTCAGATTGGCTCTAATAACATACTCCAATGTCCCAATTTGATTTGCAAAATTTCCTATTTTGGTTGTCCCAAAAAGATTTCCCACTCTCTAGGTATGGAAAGATGAATAGAGTGACAAATTACCCTTACTTTTATATTTTTACTCCTCTATATATTTAAGTGCCTCTATTCTATGGGAGATAGGGCAAAATACTAAAGCTAAACTTTATTTTTAACTTCCTTAATTCTTATGACAGTCAACTTTTGCAAATCAAATTAGGACGGAGGGAGTATTTAGATTTCAAGTTTCATCATTATTGGTGAACCTAATAATAGAAATACATTATCTTATACTCCCTCTGTCCCTTAAAACTTTGCCCACTTTCTCTTTTGGATGTCCCACTAACTTTGACACTTTCCCTTTTAAGTAAAGAATTTATGGTTCCAATTTATGGTTCTA